TGCGCAAAGAAACAATATCAAAGTAACTCTCAAGTTGCTAGGGAAAGGGCATACCCAGATGGAAGTAGATAGCGTGCCTCACACCATTGAGGGAAAATTGAAAACCATGTTAATATATAGTCCGTCTGACTACGTCAGGTACGTGACAGAGGCGACTCACTCTTTCTTTAAGGATTACACAGATGTTTGCCCCTTGAAAAGCATTTGGCTCAGGAAGAAAGCAGGCGAATAACAAGTTGTAGACATCGGATGTCTTCAGTACACATCGGGTGGCCGGATCAGCTACAAGCTTGACCACGACGCAGAGTGGCAAGAGCTTACTGTGAGAGGAAACTCCACTCTCATAGAGAATGACCCAAAACGTCTACTGACAAACAAAAGGAAGATTTCAGCCTCCAAGTACAAAGACCTCCGAGAGCTGAAACATCCCTCAGGATTTCCCTGCTTTTTATCATGCCTTGCCTCACGAATAATGCTTTGCAATAGGACATTCACATCTTTTTTTTTTCCAACAAAAAGTCCTTTTTGTGGTACATATTACTAATTAGCCACTATCACTAATTGATTGTTTTCTTAGTACAGCATTATTTTTATATTTGACTATGGATTTCATTTTGCAACTATCTGTAATCTAATGTTAAGGAATGTCATTAGCAATGAAAACCCTTTGACATTTTAGTTATTCACGACATTATGAACTGACTTATTCTTTCTTAATACATTTGTTATCACTCTTTGTCGTTTACTTTAAATCAATGTCCTTTTCATCATGTTTACTGTTAAAATAATGTTGCATTTTTCTGCTTTCCTTCACGCTTTAAATTCATGAAGTTAATTGCGTTGATGTATGTGCGACACTCTTTAAACCACCAGATGTATGTTTCCAATATTTTAAACATTTTCCATAAGCATGGTTGTAATAATTTCACAATAGAATTTAAAAGGAAAACCGTGAGTTTTTGTTTGTTTCTTTTAAAATCATATCACGTGATTGTCTGCACTTGATTCCACCAACATTTTATCATTTTATTTTGCACATAACTCTTCTGTGGGCCTACGACGCTAAAATGGTATCAAAACTCTACCAGAGAGCATTATATCCACTGGTAAACCTGAGAACGAGAAACGGTCAAGCGCCAAGCTAACCACACAGTGTTGCGGGAGATAAACGTGCAAGCCTCTAACCATGTAACCGCCGGTTACATTTGCTCTTAAGCGTGCTGGGCGCTAACCGTTTATGGCGCTAAGCGTGCAATTGCGGACAAATTTTTATGCGCTTATCGTGCATACGCCTTAATTAATTAGTTTTTTAAACTATCAACTCGAATTTATGTTGACACTATCATTCAGTATAAAAGTATAAACATTTCAGCAATAATCATTAATTGGTAGATAGTAAGAGAATTTTAAAACGTTTTTTTCGTTTTTCTCAAAATGAACTCTCGTGCACTTACATGGTTAGAGTCGGACATCGACGATATACAGGTGACCGTTAGATCAGGTGTGACTATATTATATCTCCTCACCTGAGCACTGGAGACATATACAGGTGACCTATAGATCAGGTGTGACTATATCTCCTCACCTGAGCGCTGGAGACATATACAGATAGCCGTTAGATCAGGTGACTGTCTTATACAGGTGACCAATAGAGCAGGTTTCTCTGTACATCCTCACCTGAGCGCTGGACACATATACAGGAGACATATGCACGTGACCTATAGATCAGGTGTGACTACATCTCTCCTCACCTGAGCGATGGAGACATATACAGGTGACCAATAGATCAGGTGAGACTACATCTCTCCTCACCTGAGCACTGGAGACCTCCATGACCGGCTGACCGACGTCCACGTGCAGACACAAGGCCAGCGTGCTGATGACCTCGGAGGTAGGTGGGCTGTACTTGCAGCTGACGGCGAGCGTGGACAGCACGTCCAGCGGGTGGAGCAGCACGGCCGGTCGCGGCTGCCCGGACAGGAGGGAGTACACACATGCACCGCTCACTTTTACCGTCCACGGTAACTTCTCACCTGGGGGGTCACATACGAGTGGTTGTTTGTTTGTTTGGTTGAGGGGTTTCCCATGTGTGTGTTTGTTTGTTTGTTTGTTTGTTTGTTTGTTTGTTGGGATTACACATGTGTGTGTTTGTTTGTTTGTTTGTTTGTTTGTTTGTTTGTTGGGATTACACATGTGTGTGTTTGTTTGTTTGTTTGTTTGTTTGTTTGGTTGATGGGATTACACATGTGTGTGTTTGTTTGTTTGTTTGTTTGTTTGTTT